TCATCATCATCATCATCATCATCATCATCATCATCATCATCATCATCATCATCATCAGACCGTTCCGGGCTGAGTGAGCGATGTGGTAGAATGAACAGGGAACTTTGTCCCGAGACGATGGGTCTGCAGTTTCCGCGCCCTGATCCACACTTTTTCGCTGTTTCCGTGGCCGCATGCCTCTTTCTCGTCATTACTGACTAATTCGTGCAAGGATAAGGTTTGCTCCCTGCCTCCTGAATCTCAGACCAGTAGTCCAACGAAAAATGTATCACTATCGTCTGTGAGCGAAAAACAGTCGGGGAAAAATTGAAAACAAAGGGGACGGAGTTGTGCATCCGACCCGACTGGGATTTAACAGCTAACCCGACCGCACCGGGAATTTGTGTTCTGACATCTTGTTTGGTATGAGAAACTAAACACAGACACACACGCACATATATGGATGGACTTATTACATCTATACATATAAATATGTCTGTATTTCGAATAGCCCATGCGTGATCAAGTGTAATTAACGGAGTTGCGTTGTCCGGTGATTTGACAATGCAAGGTGGTGGTGGGTGGGTGGACAAGAGGGTCTTCAGCCTGGTCTGTGGAATTTCCAATCAAATGAACTGTACACATTCAACGGATGGGCAAGCTCATCCGTTTTTGATGCAAACTTCTCCGCGCACTGTCTGAGAGCGATTTATACCGGGAACGTATTGGAGCTGTACCAACCAGCCCGATGAAGGCAGCAAAATGTTGTTGACCACAAGGGTATAGAAAGTCCAACGTGGGTGTAAGTTCCAAACCAACCACCCCAATCCCAGTCAGTGGTTCAGGCCTCCAGTAGGGACCGCTCATTCGTCACAAGCGGTCACCATCATCCGCGAACAGTCATCATTCCAAACAGGACGAAACAGTTGTCCAGTGCTCTTTGTTGGTTATCACAAACACTTCCGTCGCATTTGAATGCATTATTTCGTGGGGAATTAACAATCTTCCAAGGAGTGAAACCCACACACAATACCATCAACAGTGCCTGGTGCCTCTGAACAATCGATCGGGCTCATCCAAGCTTGATATTCTAAAATTTTGGGATTGGTCTTTTTAATCGCACCCAGGACAAATCAGTTGTGTGTGATTGCTCCGGTTCCTTCTTCATGTCTAACTTGATCGCGAATACCGTCTTCGGTCTATCTCATTTGAGAGTAACTCAAAACCAAAAATACACTAATTATCTTCTGTTGTTGTTATTTTAAAAGGGTGCGTGAAATCATGATGAACTTTGTAACTGGACGGTTACGTTCATCATCTTCAAAAGTGTAAAACAGCATGACACCAGCGTGAGGTTCTTCAGCTCCAAATGTAACAGGGATTGGGGAATATGGCGCACAAAGTACTCTCAGCAAAACTCGATTCTTCCGCGAATAACCAAACGTAATTTCGTACACAAAAAGCATTTTTGTGCATTTTTGTCTATTTATCTATCTATCTATCTATCTATCTATCTATCTATCTATCTATCTATCTATGTCGTTCAATCTGATCATGTAAACACTGCTCGCTCCTTAGTCTGTCAGTCGTCATTTTACCCATTCATTCAAACTGGAGGTCAGGGATGCGATGCACTGAATCTAACCAGTGTTCCGGGATTCGCAGCCATGGTGCATTTCTGTTCACACGGGGCCTTGTACTCCGAACATCTCGTGCAACTGGAAGCGTCTTAGCCGACTTCTCTTTTGTTCACAAACCTTTGTTCCCCGAAAACGTGCTCTCTGAAGGAACAGTGTGGGTACGGAAATTCAATGAACTAAATAACTTGTTCGGACACGCACTTTCACGCACTTTCATATATGAGTTTTTGTCAGTGACAATTTGCGTTTCTTTTTCAAACTATTTGAGTCATTGCTATCGGGCTGATTCGGGCGGTCGTTGGTGTGCAGAACAGCCCACAGTTAAACCAATGAAATTTGTTTTAACCTTTTTTCCACAGAGAATATCTCCGTGAAATGCGTAGTCCGATTTGGCAAATAATGGACTCTTTTCAAGGAACGGAGTTATTGATCTGGAATATTCTGATGCCTTGTCGGGTGATAATAAACAGGACGTCCGACATGATCTGAATCGTTTGCTGAACACAATCAAGGCACCCGGAAACGGGTTTATACCACCCAAATGCAAAGCCTTTGCACAAGACTGGCCGAAGCCTTTACCTACAATTACCCCTTGTAATGATGATCAGGCAGAAATAGTCTAGAACTTTGAGCTTGATCGCAACTGGAGGTAGTGTCAGGAAAGAGATCATTCCACGAATAGCAACAGATAGAACAGCTTTTTTCAAACTAGAACACCTGTGATATCACTGTGATATCCAATTGTCCCTTAAAGGGTATACTTCACCGCTGTTGCGAGACCGGCCCTTCTGCGTTGGGGACGCTAATCGGCTTTCTGATATTCGATCACCAGTATCTTCGAAGCACTACTCGTGTCTGGTTGGAGCTTCGGGTGAGCAATGGGGAGGTTCGTCGTTGAGNTATTGATAGTGGTTATCCTAAAAGACGTAATCGCCTCATTCCGCCTCCGATGGCTCGGTCATGTTTTGCTTATATCTGCTCCTCGTGCTCTCTTTGTACGTACTGGGCGATTCGGGAAGAAGTGTTGCGGCGGTCAGCGTAAGACTTGACGTAGAGGTATGAAAAATTTAGCAGCTGCACTGGCCTCGGTTGGTAAAATTCGCGCCCGTACTCCTAGGAGACGGGCAGACAGACACGAGGTACACAACGAACAGAAATATCACTGATCGGATATGAGTTTGCTCAATGTATTAGTTGGAAAAATGAACTGAATAACTAGTTCGTCCCTAATGGGACTTGTAAATGTTGTGTGTATTTCAGCTGCAAATCCGAGGAATAGTGTGCAAGGGGGAAGAAGCCAAATTCTTCAATACTGTCATATATATAGGTCTGAATGGGGACCTCTGGATCAACAAAATCAATGATTCGAGGAATATGACTAAGTTTAGTAAACAGTGGTGCTCGTGCATCTACTCAATCCCCTTGAAACCTCAGTCTGCATAAACTATTTTCACATTGACACTGATTGGAACAGTCCAATCTTGTCTTCACTCCTTCATCCAGATGGACGGACAGTCAGGGGACAGCAATCAAAACCACACCGCACAAAAGGGCATGGTCCAAACTGAACTGAACTAAACTGAATCGAACCGAGCCGAGCACCAAACTGTCTTTCAAAACGGTAATCTCACAGCGATGGTGGAAAAAATAGAATAACCA